TTTGGAGTAAAGTACTCAGAGTAGGTACACTCGACATTTTATATTTTCTAGGAAGTTGGACAACCAGCGAATAACTCCTCGCTGTAGTTCCATCTCTAACATCCGGAACCTTAGACCTGACTGCCAGATTGTATCAAAGGCCTTCTCTAAATCGAGAAGGCAAACAACCATGCACTCTCTTTTATTAAAACTGTCTATAGCGGGGTTCAGTTAACCTAACAAGATGATCAATGGTTTGTCGAAATTTCCTGAAACCGTTTTGTACTTCCAGTAATTTTGAATTGTGTTATAGATAATTATTTAGTCTTTCACTAATTATTCTTTCTAATTTTTTTCCTACGCAGCTGGTCAGGCTGATTGGTCTGTAGCTGTGTGGCTTATTTGGTGGTTTCCCTTCCTTTAAAAACATAAGAATATTCGCTTGCTTCCAAGAGATAGGGATGTACCCTTTTTTCAAGGAGTGGTTGAAAAGTGCCTTAAGGTGTTCAAGTAATAACCGAGTTCCGTTTTTGAGTAGTATCGCTTGTATGTTGTCTGCTCGTGGAGCCTTGTTTTTAGTGTGTTTCATAGCTATGGAGATTTGTGTCGCTGTTATTTCACTTGTCATGTATTCACTGGTTTAGTTTGGTTTATTTTCAATTTCGCGCAAAGCTACACGAGGGCTAACCGTTCCTAATTTAGCAGTGAAAGACTAGAGGGAAGGCAGCTAGTCATCACCAGTCACTGCCAACTTTTGGGCTACTCTTTACCAACGAATAGTGAGATTGACCCCACGGCTGAAAGGACAAGCATGTTTGTTAGGACGGGGATTCGAACCCGCGACCCACAGATTGCCTAACCACCTGGCCCGACCCTCAGTGATCACAAGCAGGACTTGTTTCTTCCAGATGTGGTATCGCACTTCTCTCTTACCTCAAGCACTGGCACAGCATTGGTCGTAAATAGCACAACTATACTGTACAAATATTACACTTAGCACACTAATATAAATCACTAAATCAACAGCATAAATGCGTAATATTTAAACTATATACATTTTACACGTTATATGCCCCCTAGTGGCACAACGGTATGTCTGCGGACTCACGATGCTAAAAACCGAGTTTCGATATCCGTGGTGGGCAGAGCACTGTTAGCCCATTGTGCAGCTGTGTGCTTACCTAAACAAACATTTACACGTTATGTATATACGTCGGGGGTGACATCTGTGGCTCACCGGTATAACCAAATATCAGCTAGGATTCTAAATGGTGGCAGGAAAACCTAAAATATCGTATGATGTACGAAGCAGTGGAAGGTTTAAAGCCACTTTTTAATTTAACCAACATAATGAGTCGTTTTAGTAGAAAAATGTGATCGGTCATGAAGGTTAATGTAAAACGTGTATAATTTTAATATATTTATTAGAAACATGAGAGTAGCGTCATCGATAGTAGTAGTTAAAGTATATTAACGAAAATTTACAAAAACTTTAGCTTCTTCAATATTATACTTTACCAGTCCAGCGGAGTTAGGTTAATATAATAATAAATACCAAATAATCAGTTCGAGAAAACTGCAATAAGTTTATTATTCTCACATAAAAAACAAACTGAAATTAGGTTATTTGTTCGTGAATTCACGAATAATCGTAACGATACAGAATTTACAGGTTTGTGTTATACGTCAACAAAACTTGAAAATGAATAACTTTTCTAAACTCTTCTTTATAGTTAGCTATGTAATACAGTAGTTTTATTTACATTAAGCATCTTTTGATTTTAGTTATTTATGTCCTCAAATGCCTTTATCAGTAATTTTGTTTAAAATATTACCATTAAATCACCCGCGAAAATCCACTACACCTTTTGAACGACCATCCATTTATGGTATTTGCAAATAAATCCATACCGATAATAATAGTGCTCCTGGACCTACTCTTCACTCCAGTGTCGAAATTTATACTGAAGTAGCTATGTTTAACGATTTCTTAATTAATGTCCATGAAGTCCGTCAACACCCCCGAGAGCCACTTTGCTCACATTTTGAGTTATGAATAACCCTTTCAAGTGCTCATTATATGATAACAGCAATTTCTTAGTACCTCAGTTTAATAAAATCCCCTCGCTTTTTCTGTGCAGGTCAACAATTTAACATGCAGAATTTCAAGTTGTTTCTTAAACATTGTTAAGAGATTTCAAAACTCACGTAAACATAAATAACCATATAGATTTTTCATCTTTTGTTTTAATATGTACTTTAACACTTCCAGTACCGTTGTCTAAATTCTAAAACGTTAAAAGTCACTGTTGATTTTTTATATTCAATGTCTTTCCTCCTCGTGAAACAGTAAAATGCTAAGTAATACATTTTGGTAAAACATGTATGTTCTTGTAACCTAAAAACTGTTCTATTATAATAATGAAAACTAAATAAAATATGTGAATTATCTTTAGTTTTAAATTATTTTGATAACGCAGCGGAGGTAGAAACTACATTTTATATTTGTAAATTCTTGAATCTCTCGCAATCTGTGGTGTGTAATTTCGGGACCACAACCAGTGAACTGATCGTTGTAAATGCCACAAATACAAACGTTGCAATATATCTTATTATTCACGGGATCATGTAACAACAGTAGTAATACTACCACAAGGTTTTTTTTTTTTTCACGGTATCCATTTGGTTTTATGGAATAATTTGGTACCATCTCTCTGCTTGTGTGTCAAAGCACAATATGCTAAAATATATATCAGCAACGACTTATAGGCATAATAAAATAATTTTATGCTTGTGGAACACGAACGTTCCGATCGGTCTTTTTCAGTGTTACAAATAGACCACTTACTTTTATTTATAAATCCTTATCAATTTATTATAATGTAACTGAAATAGCCAAAAATTCAGAATTATTTGGTACATTTTTGATATGCTTTGTTATACTTTATAACTAAGATTTTACATTATTTAACATCCTCAACACTTATTTGCTTCTTTGCATTTATTGGTTGTATGTTTCAATGAGTGTCCTAGCTATAAACTGTTTTCCAGAAACGTGCAACACAGAGAGGTAAACTGCCTGCACTAAAACGCGTAAAGTTGACATAATGTAGGCCATTATTAAGTTTCTTTTAGTTAACACGCCATCTAGATTCCTTAGTTTTCCTAGAAGATATTATTCCAACCACACTATGCTCGCCAAGTTTTGGAGGTTATATATTCCAAGTCCCCATAACTTAACAGGAGAAAAATGTCAAAAATATTAGAGAATACAGAAGAATGGACAAGTAGAGACAGAGAAGGTTCACCGACACTCTGAGTATAACGGGCTGGTTAGGTAAGGGCAATCAGAGCCGAGGGTGAATCTACTCTACTAATCTTCACCACAAATTAGAAAAGCAGGAGCAAAAAAGAAAGCCAATCAATTCGTTGAAACCAAAGTAGGGGCGAACACTCGTAAATAGTGATGACCAATTAGACAAATAGCATTTCAGATACACCTGTAGTCTTCCACAAGTCAATTCCAAAAGAGGCCTTTAACTCAATACCAATACTTTAGTTGGGCCGAATAATAAGAGACAAAAACTCTAGACCTTCAGACTGTAACCATGCATACTAATTAGTATAACAGGAGTAATTAATTTGCAAAACATTAGCTAATTTACATTGATTAATAACCAGCCTTTAGATATTAAGATTTTTTTAGTATCTTTCTGTGTCGTTTTCTTTTATGAAAAAATTTAACATTCAATTTTCATTTCAAATTTACAATCGGATTCTGAAAGAAATTGAAAAGATATCTTAAATTCAGAAAAGTAGAATCACCCGAACATTTTTTTTTCCTCCTTGTAGGTCAGAAAGTCACTTGCCCAGCTGCTGGATATAACAGACACCCCAAAAACATGTAAACCTCCTCCTCCACGTAATGCTCAGAACAAAAAATTAACAGACACTGGAACGAAGTGGGTGAATGTACGTACTTAATAAGCTTACTCATCTACAGTACATTCCAATTCAAACCCGAGTATATGATTTCAATAAAAACGAGTTATACACAGCTGAAACTACAAGAAGCAAGAGCCGTTTCACCAAATTAGTGGTTTGCAGCTAATAGTTACATTTCCTAGTCAAACAGTCATAATCGACTATATTAAGCCAATTTTTCCTTACTTGTTATTTTGTATAACAAAAGATATTCGTTGATTAACAACCTAATTCTTAAGTATTTCTCTATTAACATACAATAGTTTTTTGGACTCTGCCCATTTTTCTTGTATGGGACATATGTACAAAAAATTACCAACACCTTTACTGTTAAGCAGTGATTATATTACCACTGCAAAGAAATATCTGTATTAAATTCTCAATTTAAATTTTCTTGAATAAAAGTGAAATATATATAACAAAATTCTTTGTTATTTTAGAATTAGAAAGGAGCTTTCACCACGAAGTATAATTAAAATATAGTAATAACTCTCATTCGCAGCATAAACAAATATTAAGGGTTTATACCATATTACAAGTAACTGGGTTTTTGTTTTCTAAAATATCCAAATAAAATAATACGTTTTTATAAAAAAGAAAAGATGCAAATTCAGCATCACTTTGTCAAAATATCTGATTTCAAATAAATCGCAACTTTAATTAACTATTAAATCACCGAATTCTTTGAAGATGGAGACTAATTTCTGAAAACTGTCATGATCACATTTAATCTTCAGATAAGAATTCGTTACTTCCAACATACTTTGTACTACTGAACTGTACTACATCTTTTCTTATACTATTTTATTCCCTTATAACGAAGGCATGTTTGTGTTAATGAGGACCACACCTTTTCTCATACTATTTTATTCCCTTACATTGAAGGCATGTTTGTGTTACTGAGGACCACACCTTTACTTGTACCATTTTATTCCCTTATAACGAAGGCATGTTTGTGTTAATGAGGACCACACCTTTTCTTGTACTATTTTATTCCCTTATAACGAAGGCATGTTTGTGTTAATGAGGACCACATCTTTTCTTGTACTATTTTATTCCCTTATGCTAACTCAACAAATCATTGAATCACAATCTGTACACTTAACAGACACACAAGTAACGGCACAAATAAGAGCTGGAATGGTAAATATGATGAGATGATATATAGATGCTTTCTGGGTTTCATCAGGCAGTTAAAATAAGAATACAATATTCTTAAAGAATAAAAACATGGGCAAGGAAAAAGTGCAGAATGATGATTAGCTTAGCGTCTGTATGGATGATATCCTTGGGCAGCTCCTGCAGTTCGAGTTCCTTGAGCTCCTGCACCTCCACTAACGGCAGACGAACTGTCACCTTGTCCTGTGAAATTGCCAGCCATCCCAGTTCCAAATCCTAAAATACCAATGTGGTTGCATAAAATAAACATATTTCAAATTTGTTGTTAGTTAATTTCAATCTACCATTTCTGTCAAAAGCTACCGAGAAAAAATAGAAATGACACGTTACAATCTGATCTTATCACTATATAGTTCAGTTATCTAGTAATACATTCACACAGCCAAAGTAATTTTCCTATTTACATAATGGAAACTTTGTCTAATAGATTTTAGATAACTCTACAATTAGGAAAATGAATCAACTCAGGTGTATTGACAAGATTCAAATAAAAGAAAACTGAATGGTAATATCTGTAATACAATAATTAAAAAGACAACTGATTTTCATTTATACACTTTCACAATGAGCATACAAGTAACAGTTATATTTGGCAACTTCTACAAAATTAAAATATTACAGGATTCAACAGCAAAAAATAAATTTTACATGAAAGAATTCTTCAACACCTTTACACCAAATTAACAGCAACATCTTGTACAAATATTTCTTAATTCAGAGGCCACTCAAAATATTAGTACACCTCACCCTTTCCAGGTGTGTTGAATGTGTAGCACCTACATACCTGAAGTTTGTATACATGCCTGTAGTTCATTTATAGCTCAATTTGAAAACAAGGAATTTAAGTCAGTGTTGACAAAAAAAAATATTAAAATTCAACATTCTAAATCTTTTGTTTCAGAACTTCCAATCTTAAATTAAAAATATGGGATCTGAAAGCTGATTTTTTTTGTGTGTGTCTCACAGTGTATTTACTATAAAGAACACTTTTCTTCCTTACAAGAATTGTAAGTTTGTAACTTCAGTTATTACAGTTTTTCTTCACATGAGTTCAAAGAAAATAATAAAGTTAAAAGTAATAATAGTAGTGCACATGTACTTGTTTGAGGTTTCAAATCTGTATGAAAATACATGCTGTTAGATTATAGTCTCCACAACATGAGCTTAGAGTAAGGTGGGTGTAACCACTGTAACTCTTCTACTTTTGTATTTGTTACTATAAAAAATTTAAACTTCACATTAGTTTTTACTAATACAAGATATTCTACTGCAATATTACTTCAAATAAAGTGTGCTATATAATGTCATGTGGTTGTATTCTGCTAATAAGCATCTACAAAATCTGGATTATCCAAAAATAAATACAAAAATTTAAGCCCTCATCCTACTAAATGAGCAAATTACTTATGAATACTGGTTTTATTTAGTAAATAAAATTTGAAAGATGTTGAAGATTTAAACAACCAAAATGATAGGAAGAATATGCTGAAAAAAAATCTCAATAAATGACAACTATCAATTCCAGTATTTTGCTGTCGAGATTTAATATGTAACCTCTGTGGCAGCACAGAAGCTCTTTCAGAAACCTAGCTTTAAGTGGAACGCTAATTTTAAGAACTAAATATATAAATCTACTATTGTTACATTACCCACCCCAAACTGGTATACACTAGGCCACAATGACTATATATCACTAAAAGAAATTCAAGAATTTCAAATTCTGCCTGAATATCCCAATTTGTTTTCTTTTTTTTTTTTACTAAGTTGCAAATGCATAATTTATAAATTTAGAAAATTAAGATAAACATTTTTTTCCTTTCTTTTTTCTTGCCATTCTGGCCTATGACCCATAACTCACCCTGAGAACCCATACCATATCCCTGCATCCCATCCATACCTCCTGCTCCAACATAACCTCTTGCAGGTCCAAAACTGGATGCTTCTTGAGCATAATTACCCATTGCTCCTACAGAAAATAAAACTCCAAAACTTAACATACATCCTCAATAATCCAGTACACTGAACATTTTAAAGTGTAATTTAGAATATAGCCTATGAAAAAGTAAATCACATTGCTGAACTTTTAAAACTTAAGTATATAACGAAAAAGAACTAGTCTAACTATATTTCAGTACTTTATCTAAAGCATCCTATAACTAAATAATCACTAACATTCAGATTAAACTTCAGATGTTCGTATTTAAAATCAAAATTTTAACAATGTATCATTATCATATCAGCATATTTTCCTTTATTTATAGCCCTAGACAACGATGTTAAGTTTTTATAAAAGCTCCAATTCTTTTAAGCATACAATTAGATGGAAGGTTAACAAATTTCCAAAACTCCAAGCTTACTTTCCTTATCACCATTTGCATAATAATGGTTCAACACTCTTCACACACCCCATTTATTTTTCCAGTATTTTATGCAAATAAGTTACTCAATTCAGCTTTTATCACATCAACGAAATTACTTTCAAAAGGCATAAAAATTTAACATTTTGTGATAAGCAATTTCAGTTCAATGAGAAAAATTAATTACTGGAAAATTTCCTAGACTTACCATATGGAGAGTTATACTCTTGTTTAACACCTGCTGCTGGAGGCACCTGTGAACCAGTTCCTCCTGCACTAGTTTGTGTTCCTGGTGGAACCACTGACCCTGGAGTAGCTGCAGCTGCATTTGGTCCTGCTTGTCCATACATCTGGGAAGGAGTTTGACCTGCAACAGGTCCTCCCGGTCCTGGAGCTGCCCCCATTGTAGCTCCAAAACCCCCATATCCTCCAAAACCTGGAGCTCCAGCACCTGAAAATTTGAATTGCAAACTTTTAAAATGGAGAAAAAGTGTTATGTTTTTGTATAAATATTAATTTAACTGATCTTTTTCTTTGAAATCAAATAGTTCTTCAAATGTACTAATTCTGATAAACATTTCTACTCTAGAAACTTAAACAGACTAGAAGGAACAAAGTTAATTTAAAATATAAATTAATAATGGTAAAACAAAAGCAAGCAAACTTAAAACAAACCAAATCCTCCATAACCCTGTTGTCCATATTGTGTTCCTGGTCCACCATATGGTCCAAATCCAGTTGGAGATGCTCCCCAACCTTGATACCCTGCATATCCTCCTAGTGGAAGTGAAAACACTACTTTAGTGTTGAAATAACTAAATTTTAAATAGTAAAAAATTGTGAATTTGAGCACTGTTTTCATTTCTCATAAATGTTTAGGATTCCTAAATTAACCCAGTACCTACAATGCATCATGCCACTTTCCAGAAACCCACAACAAATAAGGTGGTTAGCTAATTTATCTTACCCTTTAAAACCTGCTGGTAACTATTTGCCTTATGCTTGTTACTATTTCATGTTCATAAGTGCACATTTAAAATAAATACTTAAAGTTCTAGCATGAATCTCTACTAAAAGTTTCATTGGTGGGCTGAGAAAAAAAGTAAAGGCCAAATTCAAATTTTCTATATACATATAAATAAACACACACACACACATGTATATTTTATTATTATAAAAAATAAAATGTAAAAATTAGAAACTAGTTATCTCATTGGATAATGAAAAAATGTACCCATTCACTATGTGATAAAAAGCTTAGCATAAAACTAAGTTTTAAACCATGTATAGGTGCCAAGTTTTTTTGTAACATACATAGACAACAAGTTTTGTCCACAGCACTTCATGGCATGCCAACTGACCAACAATTCACAAAGGACCAAACATTATGTATGGGATGCATCTTACTAAATTAGAGGTTAATAACATGAACATTTCCTTTGAGAAACAACAACATTGGTAATCTACAAGTTAAGTAAATATATACCTGGTAAACAACAACATTGGTAATCTACAAGTTAAGTAAATATATATACCTGGTAAACAACAACATTGGTAATCTACAAGTTAAGTAAATATATATACCTGGTGCTGGACCCCATCCACCTGTAAAAATAGAAAACACTCAAATTAAAAATAAATCGTAACATGCTTTCATAGAAATACAAAGCAGTTTTATATAATTCAAAAATATCATATCGAAAACTAAAAGTTTTAAATATGTGAACTCAACTGTTAAGAGGATAGTTACCCTAATATAAATTCACCTGAGAAATTAAGTCAAAATAACTTTCCTTGATGTTCAGATTCAAATATGAAACAATGAACTTAGCATCTTTGTTTACAGAAAGAAAACTTACTGTTTTGCACACACATTTTGAAATTTTTTTTGCCAAAAATCAATCAAATTAAACTTAGTCTTAACTCTTCTTTACAGGTCCTGTTTGGACTACATTTCAATTCATAACAAAATAACTTTTCTTCAGAATACCTTAAGACAAAATATGTAACCTTCACCTTTACATTGAAATGTAACAAGTAACTTTCTTACTAAGAATAAAATTCCACCGAGTAATATCCAATCATGTTCCAAATTCTCTCTAACCTTAACTTCAATAATAACATCTTGTTAATTCTCACTCAATAAGCTACTCAAGGTCAAATCGTTAATTCGTATCAGTAACATTTATAGAACTAAAGACATTTGACCTACAATTACATTTAAAGGTTGTATGTAAACATGTGGAAGCTCTAAAGCTAATCTCCATAAATAGGCAAGACTTCTTGCCCTTGATATACACACACACCTTGGAACACGAGAGTTCAATAGAACTAGACTCAAACATCAAATTCTCCTATATTTTCTCAAAATGGAACTTCATTGAACCCCATTTCCTAAGAAACCTTTGAATCCTATACATATGGTACAGGCAATAATCAGGACAAAAAGAAATAAAACAGTTGGTACTTTATAAAGGAAAAATGTACTTCTTTGGCCTTCATCAATAAATGAGGCAATACCCTATGAAGCTATTTCTTATTCAATCAAATGAATGGTAAACTTAACTTTTCCAGTTGGACTTGAATCTTTGATGCAAAGTAGATACAAAGTTTAAACACCACAGACAATAAAGCATTTTTCGTGCTTGAATGTGTATATCGTATTGAACTAAAAATAATGCAATTAAAAAAATCCCAAACACTCATGTTCATGTTGACCAAAGTGGACAAGGACTGGCTATTGTCTAATCTTTTTTTTTGGTATGGAATTGTTTCAATAGTTAATGCTACAATGTCATAAAGACTGGTTTACTTTGCTAATGCATGAAAATAGGACTAAATTTACATCCGTCAGTATAGTCACATAGGCATTAATATAGTAAATCTATTAGTAAATTCTAGTCAATATTTCTTTTTTCAAATGAAGGATATAACTAGATGTCGATGGACTGCTGATACTTTAATTCTGCACATGCTCAGATTCGTATGTATATGACTAATTATACATTAGGACTGGAAAAGCAAACATAGCTGGGGTCATATTTCACTAATTGATATTGTAGATAAGCATTTTATGCTGTATATTGACATCTCCAAAGCAATTTGATAAAAGTATTATAAATGTGAAAAATAAATAAATAAAAACAAGACAATTGTTTGTCCATGCCCTTTTTTGGTAAATAATAGCTGAAAGTGAAATGTCAATGTTTTAGCAGATCTAATGGCTGCTGCTCACCATGCTTGATGGATTTCCCTTGGACACAGCATCTTTCTTTAGTTTTTTTTGTAAATCCCATATCAAATTGTACTTAACCCTTTCTATATGGATCACAGGTGAAAGGCCATGTCATCTCATTTATTGACTCACATTCTAAATTTTATTGAACTACTATTTCATGAATTTATGTCAATAAGTTTGGTATCAAACTGTAGATAATTCAAATCTTAGAACTATCGTTACTCAGTCTGTCAATTTAAAAGTAAATATAAAAAAAACACAGGTAAACAGTTTTTTTGTGTCACGTGGTATGTTGAATTAGATCAGATGGTTCAGCATATCTTGTATTTATTTCCCCTTTTTTTTTTTATGGTGGTTGCGGAGATCGGTCAAATTTACTGAATCCGTAGAGATTAATTACAGAAAATAAAAGATAAGTTTTTTTCTTAAGAAACATTTGATAACTACTGAACATTATAAAGATTTCGAAAAGTTTATGATGCATACAAATATTTTTAATGTTAAGATAAAAATTACTTGGCATAATAGATAGGTAAGATCTGAAGAAAAAAAAAAGGCATAAGAGAAATATTGCTTTAAAAACCTTAAGACTTGTTAAAAAAAACAGATATTTTGCATATGAAAGCAATGTAATGTTTACTGATAAACTGCCAGATTTCATTAACATTCGCTGACTGATTTAAAAGTTATAGCATGAAAACTATAACAAGCACAAAATGGTTACGAGGTTGGTCCCACGGACAGAGCCCAGGTTGAAAGAATTAATATCCAAAATGAAATTTGGCCAGAAAAAAAACGAATTATTTTCACATAAACCAGTTTTCTCTGCACAAAATGGAGCATGGAGAGGAAGCTGGCCACAACTGTCTTTTTTTTTTACCTTGAGTGAAGTTACTCGCCTCTTCCCCAATTGTTCATCCAAGCAATTGCAATGGGTGGTTGTTACACTAACTTTATGAGCTTGTAGGGCTGGAGCAAATTATCAAAAAATTACTTAGCCCTAATTTTTTACTTGTATTTCTACAGCACTTAAACATAAATACAAAGTGTTTTCTGATTGTCTGAAATCTTTAACAAAAGTTAACTTTCATTGTTATACATCATAATATAGTCAAATAATATCTAAACACCATACCTTGTGCCCCATAAGGGCCAGTCTGTTGTGGGCCTCCCCATCCACCTGGCATCATACCATTTGCCATAGGACCCATGTTACCCATTCCTCCCATGTTCGGTCCCATTGTTCCAGATGGTCCACCAGGTCCCATTCCTGGTCCACCAGCAGTACCTCCAGCTCCTCCCATGGGACCAGGTCCCCATCCACCATGACCAGATCCCATCCCCATTCCTGGACCACCCCATGGCGATATGTCCTGGTTCCCTTGTTGAGAGGCCTTGGCACTTTTGGACATCTCACGAGGTTCTGCCATTTTACACTCAATCTGTCATGCAAGAAATATCGACAATGAAAAAATGTGATATATATTCTAAGTGATTACTATTAATGGTTTTAACCAATTAACTTATCTGCCACTATGTCTATATAGAAACAGATAAGGAAAACAAAACATCTAATGTCTTAAAAGCTTTCTTATTACAACAAAAAAAATTTAAGCTCTCAACACAATTTAAGTTTGTAAGTTCAATGCAACCATATTTACAAATGTTTTCCACTGTTTCAAGTTTAAGCAAAAAGAAAAAATTTGATTCTCCTAAACAGTTCCAAGTGACTTCCAAATTTTGTATTAAATGAAAAAAAAAAAACCCTTTTTTCTATAAAGATGTTCAAATGTTTAGTCATTATCTCATACAACATAAAAAAAAAACTGACTAAAACAGTATGCAACCTTCCAGTTTTTAATGTTAAAACAAAGGCATTTTAAATCACTAAACTGATATTTCATTACTGAAAAGTATAACAGGGTCTTTCAAAATGATTCTTAAAAGGTGAAACTATCAATTATAACTATGTAACTACTTCGATGAAATGTCTAATATATATATTTCATCATCTTGTACAACTGATGACCACAGTCAAACTTATGTTGTGACGAAGTCATCTGCAAAATTAAAACTGCATGATAATTCACCCAAATAGCAGCTGGAATTATGCAATCTAGTCTAGCACATAGAAATGTCGAAGATCTAATTGAAGCTCATGAATTGCATTACAAAACGTAAAATTACAAAAATAATTATGAAAGATACAATGGCAGAAATTAAGAATTTTAACAAGAGCAGCAAATATTTTACAACTGAGCAATGAACACATTCATTTAGAAAATTCCCTTATTTACTTTAACACTAGCAACTGCTATAATCATGTTTTCCTTCAGAATTTCATGTTCTTTTCTTATCATAGGGTTATCTTTCCTAGTTTTGTGTAGAATAAAAGAAAACTAAAATACATAACTTGAGCTAGCACTAAGAGACAAATGGTTAAATTCTCAGTTTCCAAAAATAAATACAAAAAAACTAGTTTAGTCTTAGCAAAGTTAAAAACAAGTTAAGCAACACTTGACTCTTGCATATCGATCCAAGATTCTGAAACCATCTTCATTCTTTATTGCTCAAATATATATCAATTTTGTTAGCTATAGTCCTAAACTTTAATACCACCACCAGGCAGCACACCAACTAACTTAACAAAAACGTTTGGATATCATGCTGCAAAGCCTCTTTAGAGCATTTAAAGTGACTACAGAATCTATAACATACTAATGTGAAGCACGCCTTAAAATTCTCTTAGGGGGAAACCAACAATTTAATAAATTACTCCTTATTTACTAATCCTGCATTTCTGTATATATATTTTTCAGAAGTTCTTAACATTTACCCAAAAACTCTTACGTGATAGTAATGGTATATTTTCTTGCTAATTGTAAAAAAAAATTACCTTTTCTTATGATATTTTAAAAGTATTCTATCAATTAAAAAAACTATTGCCCCATTTTTTACAACACTAACAACAGAAGTATCATTCGTATTTCCAGAGCAAATAGAATATCACAATTTTAACGATAAAGACAAATAAATCCCTCAATGAAATACACCTTTCTCTCATGCTAATATAAAGGAAACCTCTTTACAAAAAACCTTTTTTCCTGCAAACTAAACTAACTTTCTAATCACTTAAGAATATAATTCATTAACACAATGTTCACTTACCTATATGATAAAACTAAAAAGATTTTAATAGTTAACTTATTATGAATTATGAAATTACTCTTAATTCTATGGCCTTGGTGCCTGGTGTTAACCAGACTTTTCCCCTTCAGCATGAGAGATTGATGTACCACACAAAACTGACCCTTTCCATCCAAAACATGAAAGGGATAATGTATTAAAACACAACTACACCTGCTTGCCGTTGATGGTGACATAATGGTCGGCACAAACTCTGTGGACGTACTCTTCTTTCTCGAATGACAAAAATCCAAATCCTAATAGTCAAGGGAAGCACAAGCTTAACTATATATGGATTTACAAGTGACAAAAACGACTGGTTGTGGTAATATGAAGACAAAAATTGGACTGTGGTTCTTCCAAAATACTACGAAGTTATGTGCCATTTGAATCATCCATAGTTTAAGCTGTGGCTGACAAATTGTACTCTTACCACATTAAAAAGCTACAGATTTTCAAATATACTATACTTTTTAACAACAAGTAATTTGAAATTTCAACAGTTCTAAGATATTGTTTAGAAGAGCCTTAAATAGCACAAGAACAAGTAACATGTAATGAAGATTATACTTTTACAATTGTACCATATAAAAACTTCGTCTTAAGTCCTAAATAAGAGTAGGTTGTGCTAGCTCAAATGGCTATAGCCAAATAGTGAACAACAAAAAAAAGAATGTTATTTTTTTACTAAAACATAATATCAGTATACTTTTCATGACAATTAGTAACTAATTTATTATCTAGTAAAGTGAATCTGACACAAGGGCTCGAATACTGTGGGAAACCTTAAGTGAACCACAGAAAATGGTCTGAAACACTTTCTCCACAAATAAAAAACAAGTGTACATGTAGTGCCAGGTTGAGTATGAAATTCAGTTTAAATAGTATACAGAGTTAATCACAGAACATTATTGTAATGTGCATAGTTACTGATGAGCAACATAGCAAGACAATAAGTGTTCTACAAGGTTAAGCAGCCAAATTACTGCAGATTAAAATCAGTGTAGCAGTTACTAACACTGTTGCTTTACCTAAGGCTAACATATAGTTAACCTGGAGATGGGTGACTTTTTACACCAATTATCTTTCAGCTTTTGAACAGTTTTTATAATAATCTACCCTAACATCAATTCATTCAGTTATTCCAGTCGTTTATGTCAAATGTGTTATTAAAACTCTTAGCTCCCACCTAAAAATAAAGAACAAAACTATATGAAAACACATTATAATATAGAACAGGTATGGTATAACCTTCAGTTTTCAATTAGCACTACTTATTTTCTGTACTTCTAATTATACTATTAGGTATTTTAATGACTTAAAAATACTTGTATATATAAATTTATAGATAGGTTAATAAAAATGTTTATATGTATACTTATTTTATGGATTATAAACTATTATATCTCAACCTTAGTTTATATTACACACAGAATTGTCTTATCCTTTAGAATGTTTATCAAAATTACACTGGAATTTTCTGTAGTGCCCCATTCACAATTTTATTTTAAATGCGTAAACAACTCATTTAAATAAAAAATTATCTTACCCCTGGACTTCTTCCTCTCTTGATCATACATAATAACAACTTCCATCACCTAAAGTAAAAAGCAGTTTTTTTTAGTGAGAATTGGTACTGATAACATTATTAAATTTTACTAAAAAAACAAGAAATGGATCAAACAAATTCCTTGGATATATAACATTTTTAGCATATAGCTACCACTCTTTAGTAAACTGTTTCCAATTTGATAAGATATTCTAGAATCTAAATGGTGTATTACTACTTACTTTTCCATATTTACTGAAGAACTCCCTCAGTGTAGTCTCTGTACAATTTGAGGGTAATCCCCCTAGAAAAACTTTAGGGAAGTTTCCTCCTTTCTTTAGCTGAAACAAAAGAGACAGGAAAACCCTTAATCAGTAAATTCTTATTATTATATTACAATAAAAAATATTCTGAATTTACGTTAACAAACAAAAAAAAAAAAACATTAGTAACTTACTACACAAAGAAACTTCAAATAGAAAGCATAATAGCTACTGTATATTTTTAATCTACTATGTAACAGACATATACCATGCCATTTTACAGCAGCTGCAACTACTGGCCCAAGTCAAGTTTTACAAAGGCTTATTAGCAAGACACAGTCACAGTCCTAATGACTTTGTGCACTTTCACAGTTTACTGAAAGAAATTCTGCAATAAAGTGATTTTGTACTGTTGCTGCTATTAAATTGTAAGAGTGCAATATTACACTGAACAAGTTTATGAAATTCACAAACAGACTTTTTCATTCAGGGCATGCTAAAAATCAACCTAAACCCAAGAAGTTACATATAAAATTAAAGAAATATCTCATCTTCCAGTGGTCAATTGTAGAAAGTTTTTTAAATGTTCGTTTCTTTCAAAATATACAGAAAATCAAAATACAAAGAAATACATAGAAGTTATAGTTGGCTAGCAATGTGGATTTCTATTTCCATAAAAAAATCCATTACTTTGTACATAAGTTTGGATTATTTTGAGTCTGAATTGCTCCCTCACATCAAAAATGCTGCAAACATTATTTCCACATATCTGTATTGGATAATCACATTACCAAACATTTTACAGCAGCCAAAAAATAAGTGTTTGTATTCAAAGTGTTGACTGCTCCCAGTGCAATGATTTTCATGTTAAGATTAGAAATAATTTTCTTCATCTGAAAGCTGTCACATCTCATTTGCATAATCCCTAAAACCTAAATAAATTTCTACACTTTTTTCATTAAAATTTGCGTCTTCCGTTTTTACATTTTCAGTTGACTGCCATTCCTTCATTTTTCAGGAGATTGACTTGAAATTTGATAGGGTTATACATTGGTCCAATACACCAAAACTCCAAAATGTATAATTTGGGCTCCTGTGCAGCCATATTTACAGGAATCAAGATGAAAATTTATATAAATATTCATGCACCCAACACACTGATATACAAAGAAGTTAGGTATAGTGCTATTTGTAGTTCTTTACTAGGTAAGGGGCAG